TTATCTGGCATTTTTGCAAAAATATCTCTTCAAAGACCATACTCAGAACAATTTTCTTTGCTAATTTTCAATCAATAGTCGATTATTGTTTACCAGTCTGGGCCATGGCTGCACTTTTATCCGATTCAAAAAATACAATCTGAATTAAATAAGGTTTATTTTCTGATACACAAATTCTGCAATTTACCCTTTACTGACAACCGTGATGTGGCAAGAGTTTGCCTTGGTCTTCCAAATCTTTCTGATCGCTTAAAATATTTTGACTGCATTCTCTGCTTTAAATTCTTCAATGGTCTAATTTTAAATTACTGGCTAGGTCTCCGCATACCTACTGTAAGAACCCATAATACATCATGCTTCTTCATCCCATTTTTTCGTCTTTCTCTTTCGCAAAGATCTTGTTTTTTACCATTTAGCATCTCACATACAGCCTGTTGAACCTTACCTATATCGTGATTTTAATTTTTTTAAAAATAAATGTAAATCTATTTTATATAATATATAATGTAACTGTTGTTTTACTTTATTTATAATTTTTTTTTTAATGTCTGTTATATCTCTTATATTTTGTAATAATTTTATTGGGGATCATTTTTTTTGTTATTAGGGGTGGAATACAATCGTCTTTGACGTTTCCAATTAAATGTAAATAAATAAATAAAAAAGATTGACCTTTTGGTGTCGTTTAGATGCAAATTTTATTTTTGATGTAATTATTTTTGATTTGAGGTAAAAACATCATACAATCAAAATGTCTAGAATTCTTTCCTAAAATATAATGTAAGAGAAGGTGCACAAAGTTATTTTTGAACTTTATAATCCCTATATTTAATTTCTAGTTAAAGTACAAAAGCAAATTTTTTTGTGGTATGGTCCAGTACTAATGCAATACAAACAAATAATTCAGAACTGAAATGAAGTTTCTGTTTATGGGGAAAATTCAGAAAGATGATTATATCTATGAATTGATGACATTTCTTCAAACAAATACATAGGATTATCTGTAAAATACAGTTAATGAGATAGAACTTATAAATCCTTCATCACTTAATTATCATTTACAGGTTGTGATTAAAGACAGTATGACTACTTTTATAAATGTAAGTAATGCATACCAATTACTTGGTAAAAACAAATTGTATCTAACAACATTTTTTATTTATTAATAATCTTATCTAAATGCAATATTAAAGAAATATAAACATTATCAATAATATTTATGGTAATGAATATACAAAATGGAAGTGTGGTTCCATTTTGAATATTTTATGCTGTTAAATATTAAGATTACAAGCCAGGGATGATCATATTTTCACTGAAAATGTTTCTTATAATTAATAAAAGTTAGTTTCCTGAAATTAGCAGTCATATATTTATTTGTAGTTTTATTTGATTTTAATGACTCAGGAATTGCCAATAATTAGTCAATTTATTATTGATGTAAGAATATTTTTGTCAAAATCAAAGTTATAAGTTCATGATAAAGTAATATTCTATACAATATTAAAATATAATTCTATGCATGTTTTAATATAAATAATCATAAAATAAAATTTATCTATACTTTGAACAATATTTTATTATTTAATAATTAAATTTCTCAAGAAATTATGCTTGAAGTGTTTTTTTTTTCTTGAGAAATGAACAGTATTGAGATAATAGAAATCACTATTTCTGAATTATTTACTCTCATTATAAAAAAAAAAAAACATAAATTTGGATTTTCAATTGCTTATGTTTTAATTATAATCAAACTCATCCATTTATATGACAAACTGTCAAGAAATATTGAATTACATTTCAGCCTTCAGACATTCCTTTTTGGGTTTATCCCCAAATGAAAATTTTTAGATAAGTCATCTAATGAGATACAGATTAAAACTTTAGCAATAAGCCTCATACTTCATTCTTGTGTTGAAAGATAAATTTGTGGATTTTAAAGAATTAACAGTCAATAGCTTTTAAATCTTTAAAATCCAGCATCCCTGAAGTGTCATTGTAGCATCCTGGTTGAAAATCATTGGATCAAGAGGTTAAAATATAGTGGTATTAAATGAAGTTTTTAGAACAATCTCAAGGTGATATCAAAATGGACAAAGAACTAAATCTTTGGAAAAAAAATTGATTAATAATAATATCATTAATATAAAGGATTGTGACTTGTTATTTCAGCCATGAAAATAGTTCACAAAAGAAAAAAACTAAAAAGTTGCTTTCTTGATAATTTTTGTAAATAAATCTCAAGATTTTTGACAATGAAGATCATAGTTTACCTGGAAACACAATATAATATTTCAACCACTGTTGGGCAAAACTAAACATGGATGATGATATAGAAGATTGCAATATCCAACCGTTTTTTATCATTCAGATGAGGTTGGATGATTGACAGTAACTTTAAGTGCTTACTAGTTTTGTGAATTTATTTGTGTTCATTAACTTCATTAGAATGGTTTGTGTATTTGTGTTCTAAACTTTTTGTATTAAAAAGTTCACCTAAATTATATTCACCTAAAATTATATTGCAGGCGCTCCTCACTTAATGACTGAGTTTCGTTCCTATGATTAGGTTGTTAAGTGAATTGATTGGTAATGAGAAACTTGCTTGTTTTTAATATAGTATGGTTGCTGTTTATTCAATTTCTATGTATAACATCTTTTTAATCCAAAGAATTTTTCTTGGTAGACAATCTTACAGCATTTTGGTTAGAAAATTACAGTTTATTTTAAAAATTTGAACTCGGATGCATTTTGGGTTGGCTTATGTTTCCAACCCCTCTTCAGTACTGTTAAAAAATATACAAGTTGTAATAAAGGACACGACATTATTTTAATATCACGTAAAAAGATTTCTACAATACAAAACTTATATCTCATATAATGGTACTGTACATATTAAAAATCTATTTCTATATTTTTATCTTCCATAGATGTATAACAATTCACTATAATATAAAAATAAAAATTATTGCGGTTTAAAATATATTATAAAACTTTATACACTTTAACAGTATAAAACATATTTATTTAAGATTTTCTATAAAACTTACATTTTTCAGTAATTATGTATTATGTAGTTTCAAGTCACATACATTATGATCATTTTCATCTCAAAATTGATTGCTTCCTTCCTTCAATTCTTGGCACTTCCTCCAGACGAAGTCATGTTTTTCTTTTTTGCTGTAATATTGTATTATGGGGTGCATAATAAAGTCCAAATTTATAAACAAAATATACAGGATGTATCAGAATGACATTTTAAAAATTTGAGGGATTGTAGAGGATGAAATTTTGAACGTTTTGATATAAGGAACCTATAGCCAGTATATCACATTTCTGGCTATAGGTTCCTTATATCAAAACAGCACTTTGCACATTCTATGCGGTTGGTATGCCGAACAAAACAGCAGAATACAGTGTTTATGACAAGTTTTATTGACAAAACAGTAGCGTACAATCAAACTGTACATCAAATCAGTGTCTGCACTACTTCAGAGTAAATGTTCAATGTGATGACCACCAACTTTGTTACATAATGTGCAACAATGAACCATGTTTTGTCTGACCCTCTGTAAGATGCCATGCTCTCCTCTGATGGTATTAAATGCTGTAAAGATGTGCTCCATAAACTCATGAACTGTTCCTACAGGTGTTGCATACACAAGAGACTCACATTGACTAGTTGTGTGTTTACAGCACAGTGCCAGTGGATGCAAGGGGTGACCTGAAGGATGACAAGCACTAAGTACACGTCTTGTACAAAGACTCAGTTAGACCACTGTAGTTGTGTGTTTACAGTCTTCCATCCGCAGCAATAATATGATGTCAATGGACAGAAGGGTAGCTACCAAAGTGAAGGGCGGTCAAGCACTTCCTACCACTGTTGACACTTTAGTTCAAATTTCCAACTATAGGTTCCTTATATCAAAACATTCAAAATTTCATCCTCTACAATTCCCCAAATTTTTAAAACATCAATCTGATACACCCTGTATCGTCTTGGATATTGTAAACACTTTGTATAGTGAAAACTGACCAACGGTGGGAATTTGAGTAAAATTATGAAAAAGAATTCTTGAGATTTGGAATGAGAAAGGGGATTTCCTCTGATAGAGAACTGGTTGTAAGTCATTAAACAGGTACGTCATTAAGTGAGGAGTGACTGTATTTATTTAAGGTGTAGAAAAATTAAAAATAGATTTTATATCAATATGAAAGAATACACATACAAGGGGGACCCAAAAAAATCCAAACTGAGAGCGGGCTGCCATCTATAGACATAGTAGAGAGTTCTCCCGCTAGATGTGGTTAGTAGAGACCTTCACGAAACAGCTGTGCAGATGGCATCAGTTTTTAGGTTTACATTTGAGCGTAGTGTTGTATTTCTCTTACTGTTATTCTGTTCTACCTGCAAAGTTCTGGGCATCCTTCATCTCAAAATGATGAAAACATTGAAAAAATCTGCCAAAAAGTTTTAAGACGTCTGCAAGAGGATGTGCAAAGGAAATGCCTGGAACTTTGGTGATCAGGTGACTGGTTCCTTCATCACGACAACGCCCCTGCACACACGGCCTTACAAGTGACCCACTATTTGGCCTCTCGGGGATGGCCTGTCGACCCCACTCTCTGTATTCACTAGACCTAGCCTCGTGCAACTTTTTTCTGTTTCCGAGAATGAATAAAAATCTAAAAGGGAAGCATTTTGATGATGTGGAGGTGGTAAAAACAGCTTCACTAAGGGTACTGGACGATATCAAGTTTGAAGAGTTCCAGAGATGCTTCAAACAGTGGGGAAAAAGACTTGACAAGTGCATTGCATCTAATGGAGAGTACTTTGAAGGTGACTGAAGGAATTTTGTAAAAAGTTAATAAATAAAGATTTTATACAAAAAATCCTGTTTTTTTGGGTCCCCCGCATATATAAATTTATTTGTATCATATAATGATGTTTGTTAAACTTATATATAAATTAATACAAAGTATGATACATTTGATTTTAGATGTAGAACTACCTGAACACAGAAAATTACCTCTCTTGGACAAAGTTCCACCTTGGCTTGCTTATTCTAAAGCTGTAAAAATGTACAAAAATTTAATTGACATTAGAGGACCTGAATTAATTCGTAACAAGTTAATTTACAAGCAATATGGAATTATTGTAAGNTTATTATTAAAATTCATATTTAAATGATTATTCTACTTTATGTTTCACAAATTAACATATCATGACAATCATATCATAATACATATTTATTATTAATTAACAAATTAACATATCATGAATATTAAAATAACATGAAATTTTATCAACCTGTCTTTAAGACAAGGAAATTTATTAACATATGTTACAAATTTGTATTGTAAATATTTATACTATAATTTAAAAACCAAAATATTAAAATTTTGTGATTTGATAATTGTTTATATATAGCTTAATCACATTTATGGTTTTACTAATGTAATACATTGATAAGTATTTATAATGTCATTTTGTTCATAATTTGAATCTTTTTCTATTCTGTTAGCAGAAAGAGGATAAGTTTTAATCATACTCATTGTGGACTTGGCTAGATTAACGATCAAAGTGGTTGAGTGGTCAGGGATGGGATCTAACAAATTCAGTAAAGACCACCCATAAAAAATTCCTGAGGTTGCTTAGATTTGATGCTGAGTTTTCCACAGCAAAAGCCTGATAGGGGTTACTAGTTAGTTTTTTTTCAAGAAGTCAGTCTTCAGACAATTTTTCCATGACAGTTCTTCCTCAGACAGTTTACTCAAGAGTTTCTTCAAATGATTCTTCTCTCCAAAAGTTTTTTCCACACAGTTTTTTACCATAGATTGATATTTTTCTCTGAATTGAATTTTTCTCTAAAATATTATTTTCCTAAATAATTTTTTACAACGTTATCTGTTTAAAGACATATAAATGTAAGTTTCTGAAACAACAAATTGGTATTTTCTGTATATATGACTCTATTATATTCCATTTCAGAATTATACAGATTATATCAAAAATAGTGATCACTTAAAAATATTTTTGAGAGAGAGTTTTTGTGTTGAAGATTTTAACACAAGTTTTAACACAATTTTTTTGCATGATACGAGCAAAGACGTTCATATTATTACAATTTTATCAAAGTATATAATTTACACCACCTCATATTACAAGATTCTATTTAATTAATACAATCGAGTCTCTCTATTTTTTTGGAGACACTCGTTTTGTTTAGTCATCATTTGTAGAACTTATCTGCAGTGCAATACTTTTTGTAATCTACATGTTCAACAAAATGGAATCGTCCAGCATCGTTATCTCTCATCATTAATGGTATCGTCCATACGGATTTATTCTGCAACCTGCACTGCACTCTGTTTTAACATAATATTTTTGCATGCCATGGGCAAAGATGTTCATATTTTCACAATTTTGTTAACGTATATATTTTACATTATTTCAGGTATTTATATTTTGTTTTTATTGTATTTAATATACATTTCTATTTCTTAATACAGTTTTATTTTAATTGTGTGTTGCTTGTGATATATGCAAGCTCAGTCTATCTAATTTATATAATAATATATTGATTTATCTATTGTTAGTTTATACATTTTTTGATAGTTTCTCATCACCTTCATCTTTGTTCATAGCACATGTTTTTTTATTTATTTATTTATTTCTCTCCTATAACGTATTCAACAAAAATCTTAAAATTTTTGTCCAAAACGTCAGGTCCATTAATAACAAATACATGTTTCTTGCCTCGATTCTAAATGATTTTTATGATTTATTTATATTAACAGAAAGTTGGCTTACTCCAAACTTTGATGATGTGTTGAATTTTATTAACAGTTTGGGTTATTCACATATTGCTTTATCTTGTAATATTCAACGCGGTGGTGGAATCCTTTTGATTTTTTCCCCTTGCTCAAACCTGTAAAAGTATTTGAATATCTTGATTCTATCCTTTCCGTCAAACTTTCTGTTTATAATCTAACAGTCATTTTGATATACGTCCCCCCATAATAAAAGAGATTCCATTTTTAAAACTTTACATAGATATCTTATTTCTCTTTCTGAATCCCAAAATATTAAAATTATCTTATGCGGAGACTTCAATATGTGTAACATCTCTTAGAATTCTAATGGCCCATATTATTCCTCCCTTGACACAATTGAACAATTTTTCCTTAATGAAATATTCTATTTTTTCCAACTTAAACAGGTAATCCTTTTTCCATCTCGTATTAATAACTTTCTTGATCTTGCTTTTACCTATAATTGTGTTGTATCTACCAGTTATGCTCAGGGGTTCAAATCTGACCATAATGCAATATGTTTAGATGTCTTATTAAATACCAATAAACAGCAATCTGCCAAATACATTAATATTCCAATTTGGGTCTCATTCAATGGAATGAAGGCCTCAAAAATCCTTTGCTCCATTGACTGGACCTTCCTCAACTCGCCTATTACTCCTCAGAAACTTACTGATAAAATTTACAACTTGTTTTCTGCCACTATTAAAAAATTATTACAATTCCGTAAAATAAACTCTTCCGCCAATAGATGGTTTCCTCTACACTTAAAGAAATTATCCAATATGGTCAGAAAACAATGGAGCAAATGGAAACGTTATGGTAACCCTCATGACTTATACTTACATAGAATATTGCAACAACGCTTTTACCAGGAAAATCGTACTGCTTTTCTAGAATATTTTAACAGAACTGTGTCTAACTTTGCTGCTGATCCTCGTACCTTCTGGCATTTCATTCCTAACTTTCCAAAAAAATATACCTCCTCACAAAAATCTGTTCCGGACGATAAAATATATGATATATTTAATAATATTAAATCTAGATATTTTCACATTTTACCTGAAGCTAAGTTTTATTCCCTATCTTTTCAACAATGTAAACATAAATTCTTTATTTCTTTTTCCGATGTTAATGAATATTATAAATTTGCAAAGTCTCTTAACCATATTTGTGTGTGGCCAATATAACTTGTTATTTAATAATGTTAAATCTATATATTTTTGCATTTTACCTGAAGCTAAGTTTTATTCCCTATCCTTTCAACAATGTAAACATAAATTCTTTATTTCTTTTTCAGATGTTAAGTCTGCCATAGATAGCCTAAACAACTCGAATTATAGTCCAGACTCAATTCCGGCTCAATTCTTTAAAAGTTAAAGGCAATATCCGCTGTTGTTCTCTCCAAACTCTTCACAAGTTTATTAAAATCTAGTCACATTCTAAATCAATGGTTAATCTCTAATATAAAGGTTCTCCCCAAAAAAGATAATTCCTTTAGACCAGCATTTCTCAAAGTGGGCGATAACGCCCCCTTGTGGGAGCTGGAGGCTTTCAGGGGGCAGTAGAAGGCTCAAAGAGAATTGGGGGGCATTAAGGAAATCTAGAGGGGCGACAGCAGACAAATTCTATATATAAAAATTTGACGGAATATATATAAAATGTTGACATTTTATATATTTTTTATTTTTTATTGAAGGTCACAACTTGAATATTTCTAACACATTGACTTATATTTTAGCTCAGCGTTTCTCAAAGTGGGCAATAACGCCCCCTTCTGGGCGATGAGTAGATCTAGGAGGCGCTGGAGGCAGGGTATTGAACGGTGACCAAAGGCAAAATTGGGGCTGATAAGAGGAAACATTGCGTTTAATGGTTTCCAGAT